GGAGATAGTGGGCGGGACACAGGTCTGTTCCTTCTGACACCTTTTGGAAAACGTTTTGTGATGGGATGATTGAAAACAGATCTATCTCCAAAACCGTGGTGACAGGATGAGATAGCTGCAGCATATGTTTTAATAGTGCCGAATGTGAGGCCTCTGTCCATTGTAACAGAATGAAATGACTGTTTTCCACCAAAAGTAATTTCCCCCCTGTCCTCTGACACAGGACTAGTCTGCATGATATATGGCCTCAAGGTCTCATGCATGCATTATTTTTGGAAAGCTGCCCATTTAGCAGCATAAGATGCAACGGTAGAGTGTGCGCGCACTCTGAATCATGTTGACCACATCACGCGGCAGCCCAGAAGCTTCTCAGCGTGACCACTCAGCGGCCAGACCCACAGCCGTTGGCCTATTTCTGGAGGATGTTTGATTATTCCTCCCACCTGGAGGAGGGCGTCCTCCCTCCACGGGAGCATCCACGGAGAGCCGGACATCAGTGCTTTTAGGTCTGGAAACCATGACGCGGACAAGCGTCTGGGAGCTACCAGAATCACCGAGAGCTGTTCCGACCGAACTCAGTCCAGGAGTCAGGGAATCAGTGGGACTGGCGGAAATGCATACAAGAGCGTCTAGGCCAGGGCTGGTGTGAGAAGGCATCCGCTCACTACAGACCCCAGTCGGAGTCGCGGGGTCCCCGTCTTGACAGGATATCTACTGCCACGTTCAGGATGCCTGGAACTTTGATGGAGAGCAGGTGGACCAGCACAGTAAATCTGTGGCTACGCGCAATAGTGGGAGGGATCGAACTCCCCCAATGGCGATTTATGTAGGCTGCCACCACCTGGTTGTCTGTGTGAACTTCGACATGACGGCCTTCAAGAAGGGCAGCAAAGTGTCTGATCACATTCCTCACTGTCATAAGCTCCAACACATCTATGTGCTCGTGCATGTGGGAGGGCTAACGAACTGCCACCATATGGGGTAAGCACGTGCCTCCCCATCCTGACAGTGACACATCCATAAATACAGAGACGTGTGACGTCGGACATCCGATGGGGACCCCATGTGAGAGGATGCGGGGATTTCCCCAGTGTGAGAGATCCCCGCCCACTGAAGGGGGAATCCTCAACATACGTCTCTTCTGACGTATCGGGTGCACCCGGAGGCGGATGAACCAACGCTGGAGGCATCTTGTGTGTAGTAATCCTAACGACACCACAGCGTGGGCATCAGCCATCATGCCCAGAGGGCTCTCATGATTTTGCAGGGTTGCACGTGGGAGATCGCATTGGTGAGATCTGCCGCTCTCGCCTGGGATAAATGTGCTCTCATTAGGGAGGCGTTCAGCTCCACCCCGAGAAACACAATCGACTGGGATGGAAAGATGGAGCTTATTTCCCAGTTTATGGAAAACCCCAGGGTTGACAAGTGCTCTATTTACTTCCTGGTTTGCTCTGATGCCTCGTCCTTGGACCAGGCAAATAGGAGCAGATCACCCAGGTAAAATAGAACCCTCATTCCTGCCATGCGTAATGGCTGAAGAGCTGTCTCCAGACATTTGGAGAAGGTGCGTGGGGCAAGTGAGTACCCGAAAGGGAGACAAATGAACTGGTATTGAACTCTCTTGAATGAAAAGCGCAGGAACTTCCGGTGTTTGGGAATTACTGGGATGTGGAAGTATGCGTCTTTCAGGTCTATCAACGTGAACCAGTCCCCAGAACGCACGTATTCTAGGACTTACCTTATTGTTAACATGCAGAAATGCATCACTGCTATGGAGCAGTTGAACAGGGAAAGGTCGAGTATTGGTCTCATTTCTCCCAACTTCTTCGGTACTACGAAGTAGCGGGAGTAGAAGCCCGAGTGTTCTTGCCCGCGAGGAACTTGGGAAATGGCTTCTTTGGACAGAAGTTCCCGTAGTTCCAGCTCTAGGGCCTGAGATTGTTCCTGTGACGTGAACGTCGTCTCCACGATCCCGTTAAAGGGAGGAGGAGCGGACTGAAAATGGAGTGTGTGACCATAATCAATGGTGTCTGATATCCATTTGCTCATGTGACAAAGGTGGCGCCATTCTCGTGCACGTTCCGTCAGCGGACACGTGTTCGAGGTCACATGAACTATGTCTGAGGACTGGGTTTGTGCCCTTACCGCTGTCACTCGCACCAGAGGACAACTGGGAGTGACCCATGGAGGGCTGCGCTCGAAAGGGTGAGTGTGAAACAGCTGGAAGAGGCTGATTCGCACCGCGGAGCGTGGTGTCCAAAGATAAAGAACGATTGGGAGCCAGGCCCGTGCACGGGGACGATAAAGTGCCAGCGGATGGAGCCGTGAACTGTAATGCAGCGCGTGGTCGCGATAGCTTCATGACATCCCATCCCACCCTACGTTGTGGGGGGAGCGGGGTGTGTTGGGTCTGGCTGGAAGGTAGGGCCGGTGCGCAAATGGAATGCACCTTTACTGCTGGCTGTGGGGTGTCATGTGATTGACTGCGTGAACATGCAGGTGTTTCGCAGTGCTTGGTGTGGGGAACGTGTCAGGATTCGGCAGAAGATTCTGCAGAGGACTGTAGGATTTTGCTCAATGTAAGGTTTTGGGTTTTATTTCAAAACCAACATCAGCCAGAGTTAACATTACAGTCATTAACACACACATTCCCCCAACGAGTCAATTTCTTGGTTGCTTTCGGCGAGGTACTTGTGACTGAGAAGGCCAGGATGACATTTGCTGGTTATTTCGGAACCGTTGGTTGTCAGATTTCTGGTCCCACTGAGGTGGAGCCGAAGCGGGAGGCCGGTTCTGAGAGGCGGGTGGTGCAGCTGGGCATTTGAAATGACCCCGCTGGCCTCGGTGTTCGTCCCATCCACTGGAGGAATGGCTAGAGTGAGAGGTGGACCGGGGGCGGACCAGGTCTCGCACCGTGGCTGACAGTTCAGCTGTCTTTTGAGCTCTCTCGATGGCGCTCCTAATATGGGGACCAAACAGAACGTCAGAGGTGATGGGGCCTTCCAACATTTCTCTGTGCAGGTGTTCGGGAATGGAGGGCAGGGCCTTGAGCCACAAGGCCCGCTGGATGAGGGTCTGCCTAGCAGCAATGCGAGCAGAACCGGTGAGTACAGCAGCACACAGATTGAGAATGGCATCAGCAGTCTTGCTAATGATGTTTTTTTTTTTTTGACTCATCAGGAGCGTCGAGCTGTTCCACCATTTTGGAGACGCCAAAGGCAAGAAGGGCGATGTTATTTCCTGCAGCGGCGGTTTGGAAGGCGCACTGGTGTGCACGGTCGGTGAGCCGTGCCAGGAGCTAATCGTGTTTGGAAGCGGAAACTGCTCGCTGGCCAGCGAGGTGGTTCTTGGCACCAAACAGCGAGGCCAGGTCTGGCTCCAGTGGAGGAATGGTTAGACAGCCCTGGTCAGAGAAGCCTTCAACTTTTGTTATGGGCACATATGTGGAGACTGGTGCTTTGAGCTTGGCAGGCTCGGAAAAAGCGGCGGACCAGCAGCTCATGGCAGCTGGGAAGCGCGGCCGGACGGGGTCTGGACAGCGTGTTTGTGTGGCCCCAAAACTTCCCGCCAAATCAGGTGGAGCCGGTTCTGGGATGGCTAGCCCCTTGCGGACCGCAGCCGCGGAGATGATGGCAGGTAGCTCCTGGAGCAGTGGTCTGACTGCTGGCAGGGAGGAGCATGAAGGCAATGGAGCAGAGGAAATTGCTGAGGGAGGCTACCTCCGTGTTTTCCAGGAGGGAATAAGGGCTATGGCAGCCAGCCTCGTCATACTCCTCAAGGTCGTTGTCATCTTCCAGCCGGTTGGAGCCAGCCGGCTCCTGACCGACATTGAAGCACTGTAATAAGGCTTTGTCCAGTGAGTACGTGAGTGTCAGCCACCGGAAATTCCTCGTTGGCGGCAGAGGTGAAGTACTCGACCCTTTCAGCTACGGGCAGATGGCACAAAACGGGTACGAGAACTGGGGGGTCTGGGCCAGGCCAGTGTGAAGAGCCCCGAGACAGACCTCACATTTGGCGTGAAGGTCACCGCTGGAGATGAAGCCCGTCTGGCAGGCCGGGCAGGTCTTCACGTCACTGTACATGCTTGGTAAGTAGGATAATTTGCTCTTGGATAATGCTCTTTAAAGATAGCTCTAAAGCTTGGCCTGAAGAGATAGCGGAGGCGAACAGTGGAGTGGCTCCACTTATATACCCACGGGGTGCCCACCATGGGTGGGCGTACATTTAAGCTCTTCATGATTGGCTGATGCTGAGATCACCCTTCCAATAGCAGCTAGCTTAAGGGCTAAGACTAGACAAAATAGAACAAGAAGGAAGTGAAATCAGGAACAGTTCTCATGGATCTGAAACGTCACAAAAGAACCATTTAAAATGATTTGGTCAGGAGCATAACATTTGTGATCCACTCGATTGTTCTTTACGCTTTGTTACCCTTTTTTAATCATCCACAGTGAGTTCATCCTCATAAACGTTAATCAGCTACAGCTGGCAGACAGCGTGGTTAGGTATAATCACATTATCTTCAAAGTAGAAAAGTTTAAAAAAAATGACTTCACTGCATTAGTAGAACCAATTCATGGTATAATAGAGAGCTTTACAGCTGATGTTTGACAGCATAAAGCGATTACTTATCATTACTGTGTTTATATTTGTCCTTTAAAAATTACAGAAGAGTGTCTCTGGCCCAGAATCTGATTTAGCCTCCACTTGTGGCTCGTACACAATGGTTCCCTGTGTGTGCAAGGAGAGGATCCAGTTGAGCATGCTCTTTATGGCTCAGAGTGATTGGGCGCCTGGGTGTGAAACCATGAAGGGAATGAGAAGTCTAGAGAGGACTTAATGCCTGACTGAACTCGGCCATGTTGCTGTGGTGATAATGAGCAGATTATACATCTGAAAGCACATTTGCTGTGTCGCTCAACAAGTGTTGAAGCTTGGGTTTCCTTTAGAAAATCTCCACATCTGTAAACACTGGAAGATATCTGAGGACACAGGCATGAATGGCAACAGCTTTATTGCAGGTTTATTAGAAAAGATTTTACATTTTTTTGACACAAAGTTTAAAATTATAGCAAACAAAAAATATTATAAACTTTTCTCTAGCAGCACGATTTCATTTCGGAACTAGTGATGGCACTGGTCTTGTTAGAACACGCTGTGCACTGAATAAACCAGCAGTTAGAGCTTGAGTAAGACAAAAAGCCTGCAGATTTAGGACGATCAGAGAGGCGGAGGAGATTTAGTTGCAGCAACTTGAAGGAGATTAGAAAAGGAAAGCTAAGAATTGCTGTACAGAAATTATGTGCATATTTCACCATGTAAGGCTTCAGAAAGGCCTGGGCTGAATGTTGTTGTAGGACCATGAATATACGACCAGCATTTAAACAACAACACCTGTAAAAATGACATTAAAATATACATGAAAGCTACTTTTCTAAAGTAGAAACCAAGTTACAAATCCGTCCTTCACAATGATAAATGATATCTGCCTTGGCAAAAGCACTACAACGTATTTTTGCTGAAAGTCTCCTAATCTATGAGGTCTTGAGATTAATGGCTCAGATTTCTAACAATCAGACCCTTCAGCTATCAGGTTTCACATACAGTTTGTGAAAAAGCACAGCAGTTAATAAGCAGACAAAGGTCAGAGGAGCACAAAGGAATGGCACAGGTGCTAAAAATATATTTGAGGGGTTTTATAATCAGCAGAAACGACCATTCTGTTAAGAAAGAGCATGCAGTTTCAACACTTAATTGTTTTACCGGCCTGTTCTGTGTGGACTTCAAAAATACTGTTACAGCTGAGGATTGCACTCCAGGCTGATTTTGTTTAGTCACATGTCAGAAAGCGTTTGAAATACACCTCCCATGTGCCCCGCTGAGGCTTTGACCTGCATACTGTTTGTGTCACGTGTCTCAAGCAGCAGAAGAGAGAAAAATCAGGAAAGAAATGACTAGAAATTCAACATTTATGAAGAAAATAAAACCTTGTGACTATAAAAAGTCTTAAAAGTAGCAGTGGTAGTGTTAGTAGCACATTTAGGTAGGATCTAAAGAGTCTATAGCTGCTCCTGGTAACAGCTCTGTCTGCTGCAGAAGACAGATGCAAACTGAAAGTGAGCATTTATCATCTAGAGTCTGACAAGTTCAGACTTCAGCAGTCACAGGAAGGAGAGCACAGAAATGCTCCATAGATGTAAAAAAAAGAACCTTGGCGAGCCCAAACACTGATTACACAAACACCCTACAACCACCCACATGCATTCTGTCATTCTTCATTTCATTCCTTCACCAATAAGCACGACCTTTCATTTAAAACGGCTCTCATGCCAGTAGTTTTTCTAAAAACACCAACAAATAAAAAAACAACAAATGATTTATAATTTAAAAAAAACTGTAAATTATACCAAAACTGCTGTTTTTCTATTTTGAAATCTACAGTAGCTAATAACAGCGAGCACCAGGCAAAAACTGAGGGGAAGATAATGTTAATACTGCCATTAAACAAAAGGATGAGCTATAAAAAAAATCCATCTGGAAACAAATGTCTTTCCACTGCTCAGATGAATCTCCTGCTACTGGTGAGTTAATGTAAGGCAGCTCTGATGTCTGTACAGTGCTGTGAGCTGCTGACCAACAAAGGAACATGAAAAGGGCTGCAGTCGTATTACTGCATACTCATACTTGAATCTGTACATCTAACTTTGTGCAGACAGGTCCATCGCTGGCGTTACCCAAACACACAACTTCTCCTAGAGGCTCTTCAACAGTTTCTTTAAAACTCATAAACCCCATGAGTTCACTGACATAGGCCTCTAGCTTGATTGAAGTCATAAACCAGTGCGACATTTTCATTGTAACAGATTTTTTTTTACTTAGTGCCGCTCAAAAGGACAATATAATGCTTCTTTATTCAGCCCCTATAAATCTATTTACACATGGACGTATGCTGTTTGTTTCGCCTAAAAGGAGTAATTAAAAACATCTTTTTTTTTTATTTTAAACTGATGCTAATTATTGGAATTTCTGCAGGTTTATCTAAGCAACTGTTATAAAATTTGGAACAAATGTTCCAGTTTGGGATTTAAACTCGGTATGAATTGCATAGCTTATACGGCTGGTAGACGGGCAAAACAAAAACTCATATTTTATTAGCAAAAGGTGCAAACACGCGTTGCACTGGCAGGAAAAGCTACCAAACCCTTAGTCAAACTAGAGGCCTATGGTTTAGACTTTTCACATGCAGATCCACTGTTTACAATCTCCTGTTTCCACTAAGATTTCGGCTTTTCTCACCGTGCAAACATGGAAAGACTTTCTTTAGAACAAATGGCAAAAATTCTGACCATTCAGGGTACAAGATGAGAAATAAACACATTAAAGGGTGGACAAACTAAACAAAATATCCAAATAGTTGTGAATACTAAAGTAGTGAGACATTTCCTACGGTTTAAAGAGATTTTAAAGGAATCAAGTCAGACTGACACTAGGTATGTGTCAAATGTCACAGTTAAAAAAAAGGATGAGGAATCAAGAAAGAAGAGCGTGCTGAATTGGACTGCTGAGGAGTATTCGATTACTGAGGTATATGTTAGAAGTGTTTTCTGCATAGCAGAGCTCCCAGCTGCAGTCAGCAGTGAGGTTTGTGCAGCTCTTGGGCTCTGAGCTGCTATAAAACAGAAACAGTCTGAATTACGGTGGCGAAAGCAGAGAAGAAAAGGAAAACCTGACGACACCAGGGCCTTCCCTTTTTCTTCTTGAGCCTTCCAGTTCAGTCAAACACAATCCAACTCGTTCAGCTTTGCTTCACATAAAGGATCTCCAAAGTTCAGGAGAACATGTAACCTCAGGGTGCAGAAAGAGGTGGTCCGAATGTTTATTTTAAAAAATAAATTACAAAGAAATCTCAACAAGGCTATGATGTTTAGTATCCATACAGCCTGAGAAGAGATTGGTCCCCTCAGACAAGGCTAAAGGAAAAAGCAGCTAATTGATTGGATGATCTAAGAATGGGCCTGATGAGGGCCGTTTGGCAGATCTAGTCTCAGTAACGTCAACAGGGTACATAGGTTCATCAATCTAGGCTTTTAAACTGCCTACATCATATTGCAATCATCCCCTCATGCAAATAAAACCCACCAGGTTGGGTGTTTTGTGCCCAGCTTTATCTTTATAGTGTTGTCTAATTCAAAATGGGGGTCCAAGCTAATCAATTACTTGATCACATTCAGATGACGGAACAAAAACCAAAAGGTCCTTAAACTTTTTTATGTGTGGTGAGAGGTCACCACACGTGACTCACGTCACTGAAGCATCAGTGTAAAGAACACCAAAATAATTGGACCACAGAATCACAGCAAATGATCAAATCAGGCTTCAGCTGGCTTCTTCCTAACCTGCTGCCATGTCAGCTCGACAACAATCACAGAACCAGCCAAATGCAAGGTGGCACTGCTCCCTCGGACCGTGCCAGATTTGATCGTCTCATCTGCTCACTAACAACATGCTGGACAGAAATGCTTTTTTCTTTTTATAGAGCTGCTATGGATGTTCCAACATCTTACAGCAGTGAGTAAGGTGAGCGTGTAGCTCTTCACGTGACCAGACTTTACTCCTCCTGTGAAGCTTTAAGCCCAGTCACTATTTCACAAGCTCCTCCCCTACTTGTGACCCACGCACACTACGGCTTACTGGAGTCATGCCATAAGGCAGACAAAGCAGAACTCTGTTTCAAGGACTGACAGGTAACTCTGTTCAAGATCCTTCTGTAATCTGATATTTGCTGTCTTAGTGATGGTTTTATATTGTGGCTAAATCATCTCTGTCAACGAATCGCAGAAACACACACACACACACACACACACACACACACACACACACACACACACACACACACACAAGCACTTGAATGAAGGAACAGTTTAAACTAAAACAGTAGAAATATTTGGCTTTTTTGTAATTGATAAAAAACTAACAGTGATTACGCTTAATATAACAACTATTCCAAATATTTTAGCTACAATTAGCAAACATAGTAGAAATCTGTTGGGTTTTTTTTGTTTGTTTGTTTTGTTGCAGTAACTTTAAAATGCAAAAATAACTTTTTGCTGATTGTGAAAACTAAAAACATTTTTCAGACTGATGAGAAGGATCTTGCGTCAGCTATTCATTCATTCATCCATCAGAAATGTATCTTTATACTCACATATAGCAAAAAAATTGACCAAAAAGTTTCTAAAACACAATAAAAAGATGAAGCGTGCTGTAAAATCATCTGCTGCTACAATCACACATCTGTCTGCCTTGAAGGCAGAGAGATAAAAGTCCCCCTGTTGAGGTTTCTGACCCTGACTGGGAATGTAATCAGGATCTGAATCCCGCTGAGCTGATTGAATCTGGCGACTCATCTATTTGAGGACACATTTAAAAGAAGATGCGTTTACAAAGAGATGTCCGTGTTTTTGTTGGAGCTGTCAGCAGAAAGCACATGCAATAGAAGAAAGCTGAGTGCATAAATCCTGCTTGTAAGAGGAAAAGACTGTTTAAGTAACATAGGCTAATGTAATAAAAACCTACATGTATGAGGTACTAGATAAAAGAACATTTGAACTTTTCCCTTTACTACATCTCACTTTTTATGCCTCTTCATCTTAGCATTGAGCTGACTTAAAATCAAAGAGCTAAGCAGATTCAACGCTCTGGTAGAAAGATTAATGCCGTCATTCAGTCTTTTTTTTCTGTTTCCACAGACTCCCAGCGATAAAATGCTCCTAGATGAGAGAATGGTGTGCTTTTCCTCCTCCATCATCCAACACTGAAGCTCCTTCTTTTTACCCTCTTTAGTTAGAGTTGCCTTCTCACCTTCTCATTGCACGGAAAAGCAAACAGCCAGCAGGGATTTGGAAGGGTGACAGATTTAAGGTAACAGGAAGCCCATAGCTGAGACTTCTGTTAGAGAGGCAGGCGATCTACGGATGTGAAAAGTGCTGGTGGGTTGAATCCCTAACAAAAAAACACAACAACAAAAGAAAACAGAATATGTGAAACAAGAAGCGGACAGATTTATTGAAGACTCACGTGTAAGAGCGGACAGGAACCTTGGTAGGATGTGACTCAGATGTGGGTCTCTACGTCGGTGTAACCAGGCAGGATGTCTCCGTTGGAACAGCTCCTCGGCTCCTCGGCTGGTGGGGTGCTGGGCAACATGTGGGCAGTGGTGGATGTCTCCTCCGGCAATGCGTGGCCTCGCTGAAGCCTGCGGTGTATCAAGGGAACAAAAAACAGCACCACACCCCCAACCATAGGAGGTACCCCTGCCAGGGAGAACGCTACCGTATAATCTCCAAAGTGATCGTGGAGAATTCCTGCAAAGCAAAACAAGATGAGGACATTTACGTTATTTTACCCATCTACGCTTGATTTTGTTCCTTGTTCAAGCCTGAAACACTTTCTGAAACAAGAAATTTTTACCATTTTCTAACAGCTGCCACTTTTCAAACATTTTCACCGACACTAAGGACACATTCCTCCATTTCGAATGGGACGAACGATTTTGTACCTTTCATGTTCTGTCCCCACGGAGTTTGGTTACTAATTGGCACTATTATGTAGTTTCCAAGAATTTAATCACAAACAAAAACTAGATTGTTTATAAAAAAAACGTTTTTAATTCTGTTTTGAAAGCTAAAGGGCTCATCCTGTCCGCTCATTGGTCAGTGAATGAAACCTTCGTTGATTGGTCCTCGTCCGAGCGACAGCGATGAAAAGTTGAAAATATTTCAACTTTCTGGGATCGCGTTGCAGGGTCGCCTGTGCACGACACATGCACGAGAGCAAAATTTCACACACACGTTTTTCGCGTTTCGCTTAGTAGGGGGGGGGGGGGAAGCCCGTGATTATCGCTTTTTCGCGCATGTCTCATTGGAGAAGAGGCGATGTCGCCTCCCGTGTGTCGAGCCCATAAGGCTTTGCATAATCATGAAATATGGTAAATGCTACAACTACAACTCCACATCTAAGGGGCTCGACATACGGGAGGCGACAAACGACCGCAATCAGCGAAATTCTAGACCGAGGCGGGAGCCTTGGCGGTCCGATCCCCGGACAAGGAAACTGATTTTTGGGACATGGAATGTCACCTCGCTGGCAGGGAAGGAGCAGGAGCTTGTGGCAGAGGTTGAGCAGTACCGGCTAGATATAGTCAGACTCACCTCGACACATAGCATTGGCTCTGGAACTCAAGTCCTTGAGAGGGGTTGGACATTCTCCTTTGCTGGAGTTGTTCCGAGTGAGAGGCGGAAGGCTGGGGTTGGCTTTTTGTTAGCCCCAAGACTCTCTGCCTGTGTGTTGGGGTTTACCCTGGGGGACGAGAGGGTAGCTTCCCTGCGCCTTCGGGTCGGGGAACGGGTCCTGACTGTTGTTTGTGCTTATGGGCCAAATATCAGTTCAGAGTACCCACCCTTTTTGGAGACCCTGGGACGAGTGCTAGATAGTGCTCCATCAGGTGACTCCATTGTCCTGCTGGGGGGCTTCAATGCGTGGTGTGGAGTGTGTCGAGTTTGGTGGCAGGATAATCTCGTCTCTGCTTTTTGTGGATGATGTGGTCCTCCTAGCTTCATCCAGCTCTGACCTTCAGCTCTTGCTGGGTAGGTTCGCGGCCGAGTGTGAAGTGGCTGGGATGAGGATCAGCACCTCCAAATCTGAGACCATGGTTCTCGACCAGAAAAGGGTGGCTTGCCAACTCTGGGTTGGGAGAGAGGTCCTACCTCAAGTGGAGGAGTTTAAGTATCTCTGGGTCTTGTTCACGAGTGAGGGTAGGAGGGATCGGGAGATCGACAGGCGGATTAGACGCTGAGCCGATCTGTCGTGGTGAAGAGGGAGCTGAGCCAGAAAGCCAGGCTCTCGATTTACCGGTCGATCTACGTCCCAATCCTCACCTATGGTCATGAGCTTTGGGTAATGACCGAGTTTCCTCCGTAGGGTGGCCGGGCTCAGCCTTAGAGATAGGGTGAGGAGCTCGGACATTAGGGGAGGGACTCGGAGTAGAACCGCTGCTCCTCCGGATCGAGAGGAGTCAGTTGAGGTGGTTTGGGCATCTGGTCAGGATGCCTCCTGGACGCCTCCCTGGGGAGGTGTTTCGGGCATGTCCTGCTGGCAGGAGGCCCCCGGGTCGACCCAGGACACGTTGGAGAGGTTACATCTCCAATCTGGTCCGGGAACGCCTTGGGGTCCTGCCGGAGAATCTGGTGGAGGTGGCCGGGGAGAGGATGGTCTGGAGCTCCTTAGTTGGGATGCTGCCCCAGCGACCCGGACCCGGATAAGCGGAGAAAGATGACGACGGGAGGCCATCTGCGGCAGCGGCAAAGCCGTCTACGCGTTCTGTTCCATGGCAAAATCTAAACTTCCGTTGTTTTGTTTAGCTGTGTCAGGTTGGAGGGAATTAAGGTTATTTAAGCGGTTCAGAGTTAAAAAAGTGGTAGATATGATGTTTCACAAGATGCTGCTAGAGTTATGTGAAATCTTACTCCTGATTTTAGTATATAAAACATAATAATAATCAACTTCTCCTTCATGTTTGCATGGAGATGTACGGAGCATCCTGTCCGTTCATTGGTCAGTGAATGAAACCTCCGTTGATTGGTCCTCATCGGAGCGACAGCGATGAAAAGTTGAAAATATTTCAACTTTCTGGGATCGCGTCGCTGGGTCGCATGTGCACGACACGTGCACGAGTGCAAAATTTCAGAAGCACGTTTTTCGCGTTTCTCTTAGTAGGAGGGAGACCCGCGATTATCGCTTTGTCGCTGACTCGCGCATGTCTCATTGAAAATGAATGGAGGAGAGGCGATGCCGTCTCCCGTGTGTCAGCCCACAATAGTTCAAATAGGTCAGCTGATGCTACAAAAGACCTGAAAGAACAATGTTGAGTAAACTGTAAAAGAAATGTAAGAAGTACCAAGATCAGAAATGTTAAAGCTGATGCCCATTGCTCATCAGAGTTACCATGGTTACGATACACCTGACTCTTCCATTTCTAGCCATTTTGGTCTCTGCCGGTGTACCACTTTAAAAAGTCATATCACACAATTCCCAAAATAATCACATATTTTACGGGCTCGACACACGGGAGGTGACATCGCCTCTCCTCCGTTCATTTTTGATGAGACATGCGGAACAAAGCGATAACCGTGGGTCTCCCTCCTGCTAAGTGACACTCGAAAATCGTGCACGTGACATTGTGCACAACTGCATGTGTCATGCATAGGAGAGCTAGCAACTCGATCTTAGAAAGTAGAAATTTTCTACTTTTCATCAATGGAGGACCAATCAGCAGAAGTCTCGCTGACTGACCAATGAGCAGACAGAATGCATCTCTGGGCTTGCTGTGTCGGATTTCCAAGAGCTTTACAACATTTACACAAAAGAATTTTGAGATCTTCACAAAAAGGCTGTTGGCGTGATCTCATATTCACTGTTTCTTTTTCTGTTTGTAATATGGGATGAACCCATTCATGTACTTTTCTTTTTTATACAGTAAAGTCAGATATAAGACTTCACTTAACTCTAGCAAAACCTCTTGAGACTTCATATCTGCCACTTTTTAAACTCTGAACTGCTTTAATGACCCAATATTCCCTCCAATCTGACGGTCATTCAGAACAACAGAAGTCTTGCTATTCGCCCTGGAACAGAGCGCATCACTGGCTTTTTAGTTCATTCTTAAGCTTGAGTTTTTATGCATTTTTATGTTATGTATTGTTTTTTAATGTTTTAATTTCTGTGAAGCACTTTGGTCGGTTTTATACTGTTGTAAGGTGCTATACAAATAAAGTTGCCTTGCCTTGACTTTTGCCACTGGCCACTGCCGCCTCCCGTGTGTCAGGTTATCAAAACGATAGCAAAAAGTTTAGTTGATCACAGTCGTTTGTTGCCTCCAGTGTGTCGAGCCCATTATTGTGTAATTTTTATGTTATTTTCTAAGCAATACAGACACCAATTCTGACAAAACTGCAAACAGAATAGTACTTAAGGCGCATCAATGTTCACTCATGACACACTTACCAGCAATGGGTGGACCAGCTGTCATAGGGAGAGACATGAGACCAAGGAGGTAACCAATGGCCTGTGACGCCTGCATGGGCCCAACTAGCTCAAAAGCTATGGGAGCCATCATGGTGAGAAAGCATCCATCACAGAGCCCCAAGAACACACACACAGCCACCAGAGCCTCAAACACTGAGCACTGAGGAATCATTATGGACATCAAGCCCAGCGCGATAAACGACACCACCTGTAACACAGAGATGTTGGAAGTAAACCAGAAATAGTTTAATTATCAGACCTGCGTCCATACAACCTTTTTAGGTACCAAACTAAATAAAAATATAATCATGTGCTTGTGTGATAAATATATAAACTAAATGATGCTAAATGGTAAATGGCCTGTATTTGATATAGCACCTTCTAGAGTCCTGGAACCCCCCAAGGCGCTTTACAACACAGTCAGTCATTCACCCATTCACACGCTGATGGGGATGAGCTACAATGTAGCCACAGCTGCCCTGGGGTGCACTGACAGAGGCGAGGCTGCCGAGCACAGGCGCCACCGGTCCCTCCGACCATGACCAGCAGGCAAGATGGGTTAAGTGTCTTGCCCAAGGACACAATGACAGCGACAGACTAAGCGGGGCTCGAAACTGCAACATTCCGATTACGGGGCGAGCACTTAACTCCTGTGCCACCGTCGCCAAGTTAAAGCTGCAATGGCAAATCCGCTAAACAAGCTAGCGTTTAAATACATACAAGGTCACAGATCTCTCCCCCGAACGCGTATTGCCAGAGGAAACGAGAGTTCTAAACACCAGTTTTCTACAGTGAATATCAAAAGCCTGTAGCCTGGCAAGCCAGACTAAATAAATGTATTATTTAGTCTGGCCATGCTCCATTGACGGCTCTCGGTTGTGGGGCGGGTTCTACCGTCGTCTTTCAAATGATCTCCGCATTCCACTGGACAAAGAATGTGACATACTCTTGTTTCACTCTGTTGCATCATCCCACCCACCAGGCATATAGAGTGCCCTGATTGGCCCACAAAGTGGATAAAGCTCTGTGATTTGTTCACTAAGCAGATAGAGCATAATGATTGGCCCACCATTATGGACCAATCACAGCTCTTTATGTGTTTGAAACCCCTCTAGAGAGCTGTGATTGGCTAGCCAGAGTCCTGGTAGGAGCTGCTGAGGTTCCAATGGAGCATGCCTAGACCATTCTTTGCAAAGCAAGAATTTGGTCTAGTTCACTAGGCTAAAAAGCCTGCACACCCGAGGTAAAATGTCAGGTTCCTGTGCTGTACTAACATGAGACAAAGATAAATCATTTCGGAACTTTAACCACCTTTATTGTGTCCTATAAGCTGTACCACTAAATTGAAAAAATAAACTAATAAATAACTGAGATCCTTTAAGTGGAGGAAAGAAAACCTAAAAAACTAAAATGATGTGGATGTATAAGTGTGCACACCCTTAAAGGCCCCGTGTGTGAAATCTATTGAAATCATGATGAAAAAAATGTGACTCTTTAGCGCCATGCAGTTCAGAGAAGGTATTGCAGCTATGGTGGCTCACTCATGAGTTTGACTGTATAATGGATTTCCAACCTGTGTAGTCTAAACCACACAAAGCTTAAAACAAGCTTCTCAACCTCTTTAAAAAAGCATTTATAATTATGACTATTTTATCAACCTACCAGTCCTGAAGGAAGCAAGCTAGTTCTATTATTGAAGCAGTCACAGTTCACACATGGAGGAGGGCTGACGTCAGCCAGGAGGTCAGGTGTTGTGAGAAATTGTGTTCCCATGAAATATTCTGTCCCCCCGTGTCAGGAGATCGCACTTCTGGCTATTGTCAAAACATTTGTGATCAACTTTTATGGGAAACTGATGTAATGTAAAGTAATAATGTTATGCTTGTGATTTCTTATCTATATTTCCTCCTAAAAACAATAAAAAAAAGATGCAGTAAAACATTCTTGTTCACTCTTTTGCAAGAAGCTTATTGGCATGGTTTTGGGGACGAGTTTAACCCAAGACATGCAGAATTCACCACTCATGAGTCAATTAGAAAAATTAAAGAATTTTATTTTTAAAAAATCAGGAACTGAGGGCGCACTGGATATGGTCCAGTAGGAATTGCAACAGAACCAGAGCATCTGAAGAGGGGAGAGCAGAGGAACAGGTGAGTCCAAGAAGGTAAGTCTAAACTAGGAAGGTAAAGAGTACAGTCTTACGGGAAGCTGGGGGCTGAGGAATTGGGGAGGGGAGGTGGAGTGCCGGGGTGAATCCAAGAGGGGGTGTCCAGGAGAGGGGGCGCCAGGAGAGTGGGCTGGCAGAGAGGAGAAAGGTGAATGCTGCGTCCAGGAGATTTATGGGGCACAGGTGAGTAATCCCGCAGGATCGTGGAAATGCCCAAGTAGTCAGAGGAGCCACAGGAAAACCAGAGAAGCTCCAGAAGCTTCAGAAGTCCAAGAAGATCCTGAGGAGTCAAGGTAAGGTCCACAAACGTTACAAAACTCCTGGGAACAGGTAAGCACAAATATATCCACAAGGGTTCTAAAATCCAAAAATCACTAGAGTTAACCTGGAGACACAAAGGGCTGGAACTACCAAGTTGTAGTTAATCATCCGGCGTCGAGATGTGTTCTCCTCCTCCTCTTATAGCTGGACCTGCTGATTGTTAGTGAGCTGCAGCTGGAGCCTCCCTCTCCTGAAACACATCTGCTCACAGATGGAACAAAAATGAGAGGAGCACTCACCCCGGCACACAACAGTACCCCCCCCCCCCCCCCCCTTCCCCAACAGACGCCTCCTGGCATCCCAGCAGATGCAGCCTCGTAGTCCCGGATCAGGGACGGGTCTTCAATAAAGGAACGGGGGACCCAGTAATGCTCCTCCGGGCAGTAACCCTCCCAATCGACCAGGTACTGGGTGCCACGGCCGCGGGGCCAGGAATCCAGGATCCTGCGAACCGTGTAGAAGAGGCCCCCCTTGTAGTACCTCGCAGGTGGGGGGGAAGCCGGCACAGGACAGAGGGGACTAGAACCCACAGGCTTGACCAGGGACACATGAAAAACCGGGTGGATCCGGAGCGAGCGTGGGAGCTCTAGTCGAACCGTGGAGGGAGTGGGGACCTCCAGGATTTTAAACGGGCCTATGAATCTGGGAGTGAAGTTACGGGAGGTGGCCTTCAGCGGGATGTCCTTAGACGAAAGCCATACTTCCTGACCTGGGGCGTAATCCGGGGCCGGAAGTCGCTAGCGGTCCGCCAGCCGCTTGTTCCTGTCAGCCGTCCTGTCCAGAGTGGCCCGGGTGGACGCCCATGCCCGTCTGGCACCCTGGAGACACTGGGGGACCGAAGATGGAGCCGAGGACTGCTGGGGAAACAGGGATGGCTGGTAACCAAGAAAGGCTTCAAATGGGGACTGATCTGTAGCGGTTGAAACATGGCAGTTGAGAGCGTACTCCACCCAGGCGAGGTGGGAGCTCCAGGAGGATGGGTGTGAAGAGCAGACGCAGCGCAGCATGGCCCTGAGCTCCTGGTTCATGCACTCGCATTGTCCATTCGTCTGTGGGTGATATCCGGAAGTGAGGGAGACCTTAGCCCCCAGAGCCTCGGCGAACTCCTTCCATAACTTGGAGATGAATTCAGGTCCCCGATCTGAGAGAATCTCCTCTGGAATCCTGTGCAACCTGAACACATGCTTAACGAGGAGTTTAGCGGTAACAGAGGGGGAAGGGAGAGACTTCAGGAGTACGAGGTGGCAAGCCTTCAAAAACCTGTCCACTATGGTGAGGATGGTGGAAAAACCATGCGAATCAGGCAACCCACAGACGAAATCTAAGGCTATGTGTGACCAGGGACGTGAGGGAGTAGGAAGGGGATTTAATAAGCCTGCTGGAGACCGATGGTCCCCCTTCTGTTGGGCACATACGTGGCATGCAGAGATGTAGTCCTTCACGTCCTTGTACATAGCAGGCCACCAGAAAGTCAGTTTCAATAGGGCAATAATGCGACCTGCACCTGGGTGCAGGGAAAACCTGCCGGTGTGTGCCCAATGGATGACCTTGCCCCTTAAGCCTTGTGGCACATAAAGCCAGCCAGGTAGACCCTTACCTGGACCTGGGTCAGTTTTAAGAGCCTCCAGCACCTGATCCCGGATCTCCCACGTGACTCCTCCCACCACACATGCTGGAGGAGAATGGTGGGAGGGCTCAACCTCCTGATCCGGAGGGTACAACCTGGAGAGGGCGTCTGGTTTTGTGTTTTTAGACCAAGGGCGGTAAGAAATCTGGAAATTGAAATATGAGAAGAGAGACCACCTGTACTGTTATGGATTAAGCCTCTTAGCTTCTCTCAGGTAAACCAGATTTTTGTGGTCAGTCCAGATGACGAAAGGTGTTTCTGCCCCCTCCAGCCAGTGTCTCCACTCCTCAATAGCGAGCATTACGGCCAGCAGCTCTCGGTCACCCAGGTCATATCTGCTCTCTGCGGGAGTTAAAGAGCAAGTCACCCCCAAATAAACAGTTTTTTTGCTGATAAACTAAATAAACGAGTGTCTAATTGTGCTGCAGACACGTGTCGTCAATAATTTGGCACTGCAGTGCATCTTAGTTAAAATTTAAATATTCTGCCTAAAACTGGCAGTGTTGTGTCGTTGACAGGTAAAAACTCTGCAATGTATTTGAATTTAAATCTGCCACTGCTATTGGCTAAGAGGTATGCTATGATGTAAACTGGTACATTATGATGTCACAATGCTGTCGTGAGCCTGTGTGTGTGTGTGTTTGTTAGGGGCTCAGCCCTCTCGGTCTGCCAGGCAACAGCATTTGTTGCATTTTTCAAACATGAAGTGGGAGTGGAGTTAGACTCTGGTAGGGGGTGACTTGCTCTTTAAACGGCGAGAGAAAAAGGCACAGGGATGAAGTTTATTATCCGTGGGAGATACCTGAGAGAGTACAGCGCCAACGCCGGTGTCGAAGGCGTCTACTTCAAGGGTGAACTGGCGCTGCCGATCAGGTCTGTGGAGCACAGGGGTGTTAGTGAACTTCCTCTTTAAGGTCTGGAAGGCAGCCTCGGCTTCTGGGGACCAAACAACAGGGTGATTAACAGAGGTTGTAGGAGCCAAAAAAGCAGTGTTCTGTGTACGTGCATTTTGACAAGATGTTGATCAGCCCAGCATCCTGTGTACGTGCACTTTTAACATCTTGATTGTCCAGCTGCTGCGTACGTGCTCAAC